AAGGTGGCTAAAGAAGTTGAAATTTTATTTTTCGAATGATGGATAAAATTAGCATTTATACTAGGATGATAACCTGCATATGAAACTAATTTATAACTCCTAAAATAAAATGGACGGTTTCTAGAAATTGAATGGATAGGAGTTAAAAATGAAAGTGGGGTGGGGAGTGCACTTAATGGGTATTAAAACTAATTAAGACTAATTAAATGCTTAAAGTGGAGTGAAGAATCCCATTTGACGATTTTAAATTGCTGAAAATTTGAGCCAAACATAGGAAAAATATACGATGTTTTAAGGGCCGTTTGGCATTCAAAATAAATGTATCAAATATATATTTTTAAATGGTGGATACAATTAGAATTTGCACTTGAATAATAGCCTGCATTTGAAATAAACTTTGATTTCTAAATGAAAAAGGGATGGTTTTAGGCAGTGGCAAAAGTGAAAATTAAAATGGTAAGATAAGTTGTATGATCATGGCAAAGTGAGTGGCTGGTAAAATAATAAAAGGGATTATTTGGTACAATATAACAAGTGTATCTATTTTTAAAAGAAAATTGGACTTAATAGTGGTAAAAATTAATATAAAAGTGTGTCGTCAAAATAATGTATTTGAATAAAATAAAGAAATTTGTCATTTAAAAGAGATTTCGACGACTTACAAAAATTTTAAGATAAGCGCACACAACTTTACTATTGTGATCAAATAGCGCACGCAACTTTACTATCGTGACCAAAAATTCTAACAACTCTTAGGAATGGTCGTAGCGATGTCAAAATATAATTCAAATTATTTTCGAGTTATACAAGAAAAATTCATTTGAAAACGACATAACATTTTTTTCTCGATCGCTACAATCAAAAATATTTTTAAAAATTTAATGAACAATCAAAGACCTACCAATTTATTAACGACGTGACGAGGCGCCACGCGTGCATCCCGTTAGCCACGTCATTAATTTTGTTGAAGGTTTTAAACGAATGTGTTTGCTAATGAGTACAGTCCAATGTTTGTATATGTTTAATAGTCAAAACTCAACATCTCAAACTTCATTGAGCAAATGAATTAGTGAGTAACGTTCAAAATTTGCATATATTTAGTTATCAAAATTCGACATTTCAAATTCCATTGAACTCGAAGACACATACATAAATTGAGTAACCACGTGGACAATTAACTGGAGATAGGGCCAGAAATACCATTAGGGCTTTCACGTTCTTTCACAGTCTCGATTTTCCATCACTGAAGTTCATTTGCTCTTTGTATCACTTAATTATACTATCTGTTACAGGCCGTCTAAGACCCTCTACCTCGTCCACCACGTATGGCCGAGCTGATCTAGTGTGCCACGTGGTAGATGAATTGAACCCACGAGGACGAGCTGAGTCCATTCAAACGAACTAAACCCACGAGGACGAACTGAACCCACAAAGACGTGCTGAGTCCACGCAGACGAACTAAACCAACAAGGACGAACTGAACCAACAAGGACAAGCTGAGTCCACGTAGATGAACTAAACCAACGAGGACGAACTGAACTCATGCGGACGAGCTGAATGACTATCGCCCCCACCTAGTGGAAGCACCGAATTCATCTGTCAGTAACGACGGATGCAAAGGCCTGCACTCTGTACTCAACACATCCCACAGTCCGCCTCGCCTCCCCACTATCAAGATTTTTTCAAAGATCTCCAAAGTCAAGTTCTTGACTGATTGATAGGACGTGAGACAGGCTACAAACGATCAATTCAGTTGATATGTCGAAACCATTTAATATCTGCCAACCTAACGATTGACAGATTGACACCTATGAAAAGATGGATCACCTGGGATCTGAAGCCATGTGTCCCACCATCTAATGGTTCACCTCTTCCCTCTCTTAGTATCCCCATACTGGTAAGAGTAAGAGGATGGATCCTTGAAGTTTGGCATCACAATCTTCAACTCTAAAGAAGTATTTCAACATATACTTACTCATCCGGTGACCACATTACCATCGGACACCACTTTCCAGTTAACTGAGACACTGACTTGATTGTCGGAGTGCTCGCGGCCACCTCCACCTCCATCGGAAAAGGCCACGAGTGATTGACGGTGTGTTACCGTGTGTGGGGAGGAGCTACGTGAAATTTCGTCCCGTTGACCACGTACGTGTCGAACCATTTTTGGAGGTGAACACTATCGACGACCTTTGACGATACAAAATGCTATACTTAACATCTAATTTTCACAATAAATAATTTTCAAAAACTGTTTATCGATCTGTAGCAGTGTGGAACCGTCGCATGGCGAATTGGGAAATAGTGGAATTGCACAGGAATTCAGCCAATTGGCCAAAACCGTTGGGGGAAATTGTAAGAATAGAGAAAAGGGTCTTCCCTAAACATGAATCGCTTGCAAAGTCGTTCGAAGAAGAGCTCAGAAAGAAGAACATTGGGTTGCTTTACTCTGAAATTGGAGGTGAAATTGCAGGATATGTCATGTATTCTTGGCCCTCCTCACTCTTTGCTTCAATTACGAAACTCGCAGGTTCGATTTTATACGCTTTTACTCTCAGTCTAACATTTTTTTCCCGTCTTTAGGGTTTAATTTTTATATTTAGTTTATTTTCTTGTGTAATATTTTAATGGGAAAAGCAATATGCAGAACATTATCGTGGGTGTGTGTGCGCGTGAGGGGAGGAGCATTGTTACTTTGTTTACGCAAGTGCAGTTTTTTGGGCGTTGCTTTGGGTAATGAAGGGGTAAGTAGCCGCGGGCGGTAGAGAGAAGGAAGCCATTGGTCCAACAAAAGCCTTCAACCCACCTTCACCAACCTAACAACCAGGACGAGCTAGCTCGTGTAGTAGGAGAAGCTACACTATTAGAACATAGGAATGATCTAATAGCCAAAGTAGCACCTCCCTTTGTGAAGATGGTATGGGATGACCTACTACTGCCCGAACGGCTTAAGATGTCAAGACCCAGTCATAAAACAGGAAGGGAGACCATAGGACCACCTACGCACATTTTGTAAAGATCAAGAGAATTATGAATTGAAGAATGAGAGAAAAGGCGGGAAGAAATTATTAAATTGATTTCATTCAATTCAAATGAAAAATTACAGCAGAATCTAATATATACAACTACCAGAATGAGCTCACGTTTTGGGGATGAAGGTTATGTACAATTACATAAATATCCTTATCTAAAATATGCTCAACACCCCCCCTCAAGATGAGGAGTATATATTCAATATTCCCATCTTGCATAATAGAAACCTGAACTTAGTTCCACCTAGAGCTTTAGTTAGTAAGTCTACCACTTGATTTTGTGATGCGGTATAGAGCATCTTCACTTCTCCTGACTAAACTTCATCTCTTACCAAGTGACAATCTATCTCAATATGCTTCGTCCTTTCATGAAATACCGGGTTACTCACTATGTGGATTGCAGATTGGTTATCACAAAATAATAAGGCTGGTTTGGATTGCTTGACACTTAGATCATTCAGCAAGTTTCTTAGCCAACTTAATTTACATACAGCAATTGCCATGGATCTGTACTCTGCTTCAGCAGATGACCTCGATACCGTATGCTGCTTTTTGGATTTCCAAGATATCAAAGAGTTCCCCAAGAAGACACAATATCCGGTAATAGACCTTCTAGTGATAGAGCAGGCTGCCCAGTCTGCATCACAATATCCTTTCAATTGCAAGTCCAGTTTGCTGTCAAAGAACAAACCTTGTCCTGATGTGCCTTTTAGATACCTTAGGACATGATGAGCGGCTTCCATATGAGGCTGCTTTGGTGACTGTAAGAAATGGCTCAGCATTTGCACAGCAAAGGATAAGTCTAGCCTTGTAATGGTTAAGTAAAGTAGTCTCCCCACCAGCCTCCTATACTCACTAACATCTTGCACATCATCTCCTTCATCTCTGCTTAGTTTAGATTATGTGGTAGAGGATTAGTTGCAGGTTTGGCCCCTAAATAGGTTGCATCAGATAGAACCTCCAAGGCATATTTTCTTTAGCATATGGAGATGCCTTTCTCTGTCCTAGCAACTTCAAGGCCCAGAAAATATTTCAGAATTCCCATATCTCTCAACTTGAACTGATTATTTAGTTCATCTTTGAATTGATCAATGTACATCAAATCATTTCCACCATTGATTATATCATCTACATATACGAATAAAACCGTAAATGAGCAGCCATTGTGTTTGCAAAACAAAGAATAATCAGCCTTTGATTGTACAAATCCGTGTGACAGAATGTATGAAGTGAGTTTGACATTCCATTGTCTTGATGCCTGTTTAAGTCCATAGATTGACTTATTGAGTTTACAAACCATATGTTTCCTAACTCTCCCCCTGCTGCTCATAACCAGGAGGCATCAACATATACACCTCTTCATCCAAATCACCCTGGAGAAAGGCATTGCTAATATCCAATTGATGTAAGTGCCACTTCAACTGGGCTGCAACAGCCAATAGAGTTTTTAACTGTTACTAGTTTAGCAACTGGGGAGAAAGTCTCCTCATAATCCAATCCTGCTTGTTGGGTAAAACCTTTGGCAACTAAGCGAGCCCTCTTTCTTTCCTCAGTCCCATCTGATCGAAGTTTAACTTTGAAAACCCATTTACATGCCACAGGTGTCTTGTTGTCTGGAAGCTGAACCACATCCCAAGTATGATTGGAAACTAGTGCTTGATATTCCAAATCCATTGCGTGACACCATTCAGGGAATTTAGAAGTGACTGAGGCTCAAAAACAGTAGATAGAGCCAAGGAATAATGCTTATGTGCCTGAGACAATTGATCATAATTCAAATGATCAGACAAAGGGTATTGTTTACTTGATGCAGAACCTTTATCCATAGAATCTGATTGAGGAGTATGAACTTGAGAGGCCAGATTACAATGACAATCACGGAGGAAAGAAGGCAATTTAGTGGATCTTTTTGATTTTCGAATAGGTAATGGAGAGGTACGAGTTGAAATTATATGAGCAGGTATATCAGTGGAAGGATGAGAATCAAATGTTGGAGGTATATCAGGGAGATGATCAGAAGCATTATGAGATGATGAAGAATTTCCAGTGGAAATGGATTCTAAAGGTGGAAAAGAAGGATCAATATTGGAAAATGGCTGAGGGGGGAAGAGAGTATGGGTTGGCTGTGAAAAACATCCAAGGTTGAATAATGAATGAAGAAAAGAGGGATATGTTCTCATGAAAAATAACATCTCTAGAGTTAAAGGTGGTATTGGTATGAAGATTAAAAAGTCTATAGACCTTCATATCGTAAGGATAGCCAATGAGAATGTAAGGTGACGCTCGAGGATTAAATTTTGTTCTATTTCGTTTCAAAGTAGCTGCATAGCAGAGGCAGCCAAAGACCCTCAGATGTGTATAGGATGGAGCAGCCTCGTAAAGTATTTCATAGGGTGATTTGTTATTCAGAATGGACGTGGGAGTTCTGTTTATAAGATGAGTGGCAGTGAGAATACATTCACCTCAGAATTTATGTAGCAGGTTAGCTTGGAATTTGATAGCTCTAGCAATATTCAAAATGTGTTGGTGTTTCCTCTCAACTATACCGTTTTGCTGTGGAGTTTCTACACAACCGACTTGATGTATAATACCTCTGAAATTAAAGAATTCTGTCATGAGATCAATCCCATTGTCAGATCTCAAAGTTTTGATATTGCTATGAAAATGTGTTTGAATTAAGGAGTAAAAAGACTGAATTATAGGTCGAGTTTGAGATTTGTTTTTCATGAGATAAGTCCATGTTACCCTATTCTATTTCCTCTTTAGATGGATCTCACTATTTCCTCACTATTGTCGATGATTACTACTGATATTGCTAATATTTGGTGAATTACAAAAGTGCTAAGAGCTTTATTACAATGAAAATCAGAAATGGGATTGCAACTATAGCATTAAGGGAGAGAACGGGTTTGATGGAAGGTGAAATGATCTTGAAAGTTTTGTTGAATGATTTTCCACTGGATTGATCATCAGGCAACTGGAAATGATATAGGCCATTCCCAAGTCTGCCTTCCCCAATCATCTTTGATGTCAAAAGATCCTGTATAAGACAAGAATTGTTCATGAAAATTAGGAAGCAATTATGTCTGCAAACTAAATTACTGACTGATATGAGATTTAATGTAAAGGGCGGCACCACAAGAACGTTTGTCAACATCAAATCATCAGACAATCTTACAGTGCCAACACTTGTTACAGCAACTTGATCTCCATTTGGAAGTCTAACAGGGGCATTAGAATTAGCTGTGAATGAGGTTAGATACTTAGCGGAGCAAACCATATGTTCAGACGCTCCAGTATCTAAGATCCACTTAATTCCAATGATAACACCATTGTGATTTATATGTTTACCTGAAAATGCAGAGTTTTCAGGAATAGTTGAAGAGACCAGTGGCAGATCATGTGATTTAGAGGTGTTAGTGGATAATTGTGCTTTCAATTGTGGAACCAGCATGGCCAAAAGTTGCTGACATTGTTCTGAAGAGATAGTCACGTTTGGCTAACACTCTCAATTTTGTTAACAACAGAAGCTTGAGTGTAATAGCATTTACCATAGGCATCTTCCCTCTTGCAAAACGATGACCTGAAGGATAGTCTATAATCTTGAAACATTTGCATTTTAGATGCCCAGGCATCCCACAATGACTACATATAGGTCTTATCTCTTCTCTGGAATGAGTTGGTCCACTGATTTCCAAATGGTGCACTTATCATTTTACCATCAAATGCAGCTGCCTCATAATGTTGTTGCCTCTTAGCAACCACATCCTTCTGTCTTTTATCCTGGAGAATAAGAGCAAATACCTTGTTTAATGAAGGTAATGGATCCATTAGTAACACTTGACTTCTAACAGCAGAAAACTGATCATCAAGCCCCATTAGAAACTGCATGACTTGATCCTCATGTTTGTGGAAAATGCTGTTAACTTCTGGTCTGTAATTGTCCAGTTCCTCACAAAGGCCTTTAAACCTATTGAAATATGAACTGACCGAACCATTCTCTTGTGAAATTGAAGCAATCTGCTTCTTCAATTCATAGATCCGTGTGAAATTACCTTGACCGATATCTGTCCCGCAGCTAAATCCAAATTTCTCTGGCGGAATCCTTATGAACTACACTTGGATAAAACTCTTTTGGAATTGAATTAATAATCCATGAGGATACAACATGATTGCACCTCCTCCAAATACCAAATACATGATCATCCTTATCCGGTTTGCTTATGGTTCCATCAATAAAACCTTCCTTGTTCTTAACACTAAGCGCCATAGTAACAACTCTACTCCATGTCGAGTAGTTCTCATCTGAAAGAACAATAGAAATAATTTGCATTCCTGTATTATCGCCATAGTTAAGATAATACGGACTCGTAGGATCAGTCACTAATCGAGTAAGGAGGGAATTTGTATCTTCTCCAGCCATATCTCCAACTGAAGAATTACTAGACAAATTATCTTGTTCGCACTGATTCTGAATATTCACTGCATTACTGGAGTTATCATACATCACATGGAAGCATCAATCACTTCTCTGATACCATGTAAAGATCAAGAGAATTATGAATTGAAGAATGTGAGAAAAGGCGGGAAGAAATTATGAAATTGATTTCATTCAATTCAAATGAAAAATTACAGCAGAATCTATATATATATACAGCTACCAGAATGAGCTCACGTTTTGGGGATGAAGGTTATGTACAATTACATAAATATCCTTATCTAAAATATGCTCAACACATTTTGCGCCCGGATGGAGTGGCATGAAGTATTAGATGTGAATATGTGAAAGACCTCAATAATACTCATCAGATGATGAGAATGTCAAAGAGGTGGTAGAAGAAATGGAGGACAATTTCAATCATTTGTTGGAATGAGATGATGATATATCCTGATGCAATTTATGGGTGTTGAGGCTTGCAAGACACTCTTGGAACGCTTGGTCGCGTTCAAACTAGAATTCGACGAGTTGTTAAAGAACGACCTGCACAATTAAATAACCAAACCATCGAGCATGATAGTTTGTCAGATGGTGTGACACCAATGGCTATTACTAGTGGTCTGATAGAATAACTAGGTTTTCGTGGGTCACTTACGAGGATGGGTCTAGAAACCTTACCTGAAGTGAGATATATCCTAGAGGCAGTGAACAAGAACTATCCTAGTACACCAATGCCAACCTGACGTCACCAACATATTGAAGTACTTGTTTCCAGAATAGCTGTCTAACTTGTAAGCAGAACCATCTAATAAAGAAGAAGCCAGTGTGCACCTTTATTTGATAAGCTTTACACAACTTAGTTTGGGAAGGATTGTAGACCGATTGCGAATAAAATTCTGCTCCTGAGTAAGTTCTATGACTATAAATACAAATGGTTAGCCTCCGTGTAATGAACATGCGCTCTAGGCCTAATAAAACTTTTCTAATTCACTGGCTCGAGCTTTAGTTCACTTAGTATTCGATCAATCTCCAGTGGCAATGCTCTTGATGCTTTGTGCTTTTGTTGATTTCAATTGAAGGGGTCATTCACCTGGTTGACCAACTTAGTCACACACTATGAAATGCGGTATATTTTGATACCAGTGTTATATTTCCTGTAATTTTCCTTGTCATTCTTAGGTTAGTCCCTAGAACCTGCTAATCATCTGATGTGGTTGAATGTTTTGAAATTGCAACTGGTAGAACTTGACTTTTTACCTGACTATATTATTTGTCTTCTTTCAGTCAAAGAGAACCATAGAAGAAGAGGCCATGGTGAAGCGTTGCTTAAAGCAGCTATACAGAAATGCAGGACTAGAAATGTTCACCGCATATCACTTCATGTAGATCCCTCTAGAAGCCCAGCTATGAGTCTTTACAAGAAACTTGGCTTCCAGGTGGATAGTCTGATAGAGGGTTACTACTCTTCAGATCGGAATGCCTATAGAATGTACTTGGATTTTGATTTGGATTAACAAAATGAAATCACAAAGTTTTTTTAGCAGCATGGCGCAATTGCTCTGGTTAGCAAAATCCAGTGTCATTGGATACAAGCTTTTGGACTTGAGCAGATCAAAACAAGCATTGCCACAAGGTCAACTCAGAAAATGACGATGATTGGATTCAGTGTATGATGTTATGCGTCCTTAAGTCCCTTTCGTCTGTATTCATTAAACAGCATGTTGTGATATGTATTAATGCTCCATTATGTTTTCTATGAATAATCATTTTGGATTTTTATTTATATGGAATGTATTGTAATCTTTCAATTAGTAATAGGCCTTTAGTGCTTACCCTACTACACTATATGAAGGACATTTGTTTGGCTTACATCCTTTGATCCAATTGTTAGCGGAGGATATGCATTTCTTGAAAAGGGCAAGTCTATCAACAGGTGATATACAATCCATCTGTTTTACGATGATATTCTCGTTTTCTCTCTCTCTCTCTCTCTCTTTTTTTTATTAATTTTTGGCCGAAGCAATAAGTTCTTTTTATTTCAGCAAGATATATAATCGACATGTTTCTAGCCTTATTTAGGTATTTCCTCCTGTTTCTTTGAAACCAAACAACATTGTATGCGGACGATATTGTTAGTAGTACTTTATTAATCCTGTTAGCTGATGTTTTTTAGTTCAATCTAATACAACAATGTCCCAACATGACAGTATAAGTACACTGTAATTTTTACTCTAGGAAACCTCAAAACTTCTGTACCCTATGTTGAAAACTAAAAAAGGGCATCAGAAGAAAATTTGCTCCATGGAATCATCTGATCCTTTATAAAGATTCAGTCATGGCAGGTCTCTTATGCAGCATTGGATGTTGACTGAACTGGACATTTCGAGAGTTTGATAACCATCTATGCAGTCAATTTGTTTGCTACTTCACATCTTTTCATCTTAGTTACTTTGAGAAGAGGAATTCTATAGATGAAATAATTAAGTCATAATTCTGGGTAGTTGCAAATTTTACGATGAGCATTTGCTTTCTTGCTTCTATTTGTAACTTCAAGTGCTCGTGTCACATGAATACTGGTGTAATAATTAAATGGAATATGCAGACCATGTTTGATGATCGAATATGCAGACCATGTTTGATGATACACATTCTTTCAAAATTTATTCTTTCAACACTCATTTTCAACTGCACACTCTTCAATAAAATAATATTTTTCATTACATCCAAAAATTTTCCTTATTTTTTAACCACATATTTTTCATCACATCACTATTTAAAATGCATTATTCCCTCAATAATGTGCATCAAACACCCCATAATATACATCTCTTTAAATTAATATTATAATAATTACTAAAATTTTATGAAATTGATCACGTCGTATAAGTATAATTTAATATTTTCAGTATCTAATAATTAATAAAAATATTTAAAAATAGAAAAATAATTAGTAGATTAACTTTATTAAAGAATCATTTATCCAAGCAGTATGATTTTTCAAGTTGTCCTGCTCGAGACCTATATACTTCGAAGTAGCTTATGAGCTACAACATGAGTGAAATTTGAAGGCGAAAAAGAGTAATGCACGAGAAAGGGACACTTAATTTACCTATCATCCATATTTTTTGAATTACTATTCACAATGGTCTTGTAACGATGTAATTGCTATGAGATCTTCATCTAGTATTTTCTCATGGACTATGTTGCTTCTTCTCTCTGAATTGACGGACATTGAGTGATGAATTGAAAGTTGATCATGTTGGTTGCAAGTTCTTGTTCCATTGTTTATTAATATGAACTCTTTTCAATTTTTTGATTTTTCACTTCAAAGAGACGCGTGTGCTTAAAGCAATTGACTATTGTTGTGGCATTAGTAAATATACATGAAATCTTTTTAAGAAGATGTTTTATAAATTAATGACCTCCACTCATTAATAAATTATTGTGCAACGCATGAAACTGAATTAGAGTGGGAGGCTAGATTGAATGATGATTTCTTATAGCTTGGAGTAATACACGGCTTTTGACTTTTTATTAGAGATCTCAAGATGGGGGCCAATCAAAATGGCCCGCTTTTATTCGGGCCCATTATGGGTCTTAATTGGCAAGTATGAAAGTATAAGGAAAGAATACATAATTACAAAAAATTTAAGATACACTTTAAAAATTAAGAAACTTGTGAAAAAGTTCCAAAAGTAAATGTGACCATAATAGGTCGATGTCACAATAATAGGTAAAAATGTCACAATAACACACAATTATGGTCACATTCACAAATTGCATAAGGTAACAATCATGATGCACAAATTGTGAGTAACAACAACAAATTTAGTTACAATCGTACATTTTTTTAGTTCATGCATTATTTATTGATCACAAATTATCTATTTTATAGATCAAATATTATTCATTTGTCACAATCACCTAATTAATTAATCACAAATGCTTTTCATCCATCTCAGCCACTCCACCACCATTACCACCATCACTTCCAACTCTACCACCATCGGCATCGGCATCATCACCACTCCACCAGCACCACCGCCACCAACATTTTGCAATTGCAAACAACAACCAATAAAAACCACCGCAAAACTCTAGCTAAATAGATTGAAAGAGGAAAAAACCCCCCAAAACCCCCAAAACCATCGTCATAGAGGTGATGGCACTGCGGGCAGCATGGATGCTTCCTGCAGCGTTATCGTGCGATGGTCTTGCACGCGATGAGAAGTTCAATGATCGAAGAATGAGGAAGGTGGGAAGTTTTGTGACTTGATTTATGAAAGAATGAAGTTAAAATCTAATTTTTGAATTGATAAGTTCAAATATAGGGCTAGGTGTGATTTTCACTAAATATAATTAGAATGTAATTTAGTTCGTCTTCCAAATCTAAGGACAGGGCTTACTCACAAGCCGTTATTATTGTGATTGGGCTAGTCTAACTTGTTTTGTTTTACTTATTTCTCTTTATTTGAAAAGTTAACGCGATCTAAAATTGTCATAATAAAAAAGAAATATTCTCATTGATGTGTTTATGATTAGATCGTAATAATATAGGCATTGACCTCGAAATTGCAATCAACAAATTTCTCTTGCTAAAGCAGGATTTTCTTCTCCCAAACTAACTTATTCTATGCTCAATCCGGAGCAAGAATAGAAATGGTTATTTGAAATGAAGATATTCATATTTTGCATGCCATTCTTGGTTCCTGGATATGCCTATTCATATATTTCTAACGAGGTATTGTGGGTAATTAAGTCATTTTCGCTAATGACACATGGAAGTCATTGATTTGTTTACTTCTAATAATTGTATTTTATACACTTATCTAGGTCATTAAATATATACGTTTTTGATTATTTTTGATAAATAATATCTTAATCTTTTGTATATATTTTTTAGGTAAAACTCATTGGTTGAAAGCAAATTTGGAAGAAATGAATGAAAATCAACGATAAATGAGAATTTTAGAAGTTTAGGGACTAAATTGTAAATATTAAAAAGTTTATTTGGACCAAAGAACAGTGATTGAAGCCTAAACATATCAATTGAATAAAATTGAAAGACGAATGACCAAGATTTCATGAAAAAGGACTCGAATTGAACCGAGGAAGAAAGATGATGACTAAATTGCACAATCGCAGAACATTTTACTCCATGTGATCGTATGGAGTAATTCCCCTGCGATCGCAACCCCTAGATTTAAAATAATCAAGGCCAAATCAGTTGGCCGATGCATTCACAAGCAGAAACCCCATGCAATTGCATAGGGTTAATTTCGACCAAACATGAAGTTTCCTTATTCGATCAAAACTCTGTTTGAAAACTAATTTTGACACGATTCTTAACCTTATTTTGATCTTTTAAGTACAGAACATGGGCAACCATAAAGAAAATCTCTCATACCTCTCTTATATCAATTCATATCATAAAATCTTACAAGGCGATGGACCGATTCACCACAAATTGAAGAGAATAACAAGTTTAGGAAGCGGACTGAATCAATAAATATCAAGAACTTGATTCCATAAATTGTATGCTTTGTTAAATTATTTAATTTTTTTGACCACCAATTAGGTTGTTTGTTATGCTTATGGGAGGTTTATAATAGGTTTAGAACTTTGCAAGATTAATATGCGAGCAATGCATGCTGGGAAGAACATGTATAGCGTGTGTAATCATTTAGATAATCGTGTGCATTAATTCGTTACTTTTCATATGAATTTGGAATAGAAATATGATCACATCGTGCGTAGAATATGTTTAACTTACCTCGAGAAAGATATTTAGATAAAATTGGATTATCGATTATCGAGAATACACAAATCACACTAAATTACATAGGTCAAGAATACAAAACATCTTTAGACAACTAGTAGATTAATTTAGATACAAACAAATAAATCTCTTTTGTATTACGTTCCATTCCAATTTGATACCAGACTATTACAATTCAATTTAAGATTTATTCATGTGGAATTAGATCATATCTTGAATAGACAAGCATATAATCTCTCGTTAATCGAAGGTACTCGAGTATATGTTTCACCGATATCCAATGTTTTGGTCATGGATTAGACTGATAATGACTAACAATATCCACAGCATAACAAATATCTGGACTAGTGAAAAGCATATCATACATGAGGCTCCTCACAATCGAAGCATAAGAAACCTTCTTTACGTAATCTATCTTCGTTGAAGTCTTGGGAGAATGCTCCTTAAATAGATTAATTCCATGTCTAAATGAAGTTATCCCTTTTCAGAATTTTGCATTGTGAATCTACGTAATATCTTGTCAATATATGGAACTTGGGATAATGCTATCCGTCTATTTTTCCTATCTCATAAGATTCGGATTCCCAAAACAAAACTAGCTTCTCTCGAATCATTTATATCAAACTGTTGTGACAATCATTTCTTTATAGATGACAATGTCCTTATATCATTTCAAATGAGTAAAATGTCATCTACATAAAGCATCAGGAAACTACTTTCTTTCCTTGTATACACTTGTATACACAATGTTCATCGAGATTTTGGTCAAAACCATAGGTTTTAATAGATTGATCAAATCTTACATTCCAATATATAGACGCTTGCCTAAGTCCATAAATGAACATTTGCAACTTGCAAACTTTCCTTTCATGGCCTTCTTTCACGAATCCCTTA